CCCGCCGAGCCCACTGCAGCCTGCACGCAGCTGATGGCACAGCGCACCCCCTCCAGCGAGGTGCGATCCTTCCAGACTGTCCCCCAGCTAACCCCCAGCCTAGGCACGAGGCCCTCACGACGCCCCCGGCCTGACAGCTGGCACCAGGACAGTGGGCGCCCGCAGCCCAGCGCCCAGCCCTGCTCCCTGGCTCTGCCTCACCGTCAGCCAAGGCTCACCTGAGAGGCACAGAGGCCTCACACGCAGTGTCTGTGGCGGGAAAGACCACGGTGCCCACTGCCTCAGGGACAGGGCACCCCCAGGGGAGTGCGGAGGGTGCACAGGAGGCCGCTGTGCACAGCCACCAGGGCCAGGGAGGAGGGCTGGGGCAGGAGGTGCCCCAGGGAAGCTGCCTCCCAGCCTAACTCCCAGGGTGCTCCCCAGAGACCCAGCCACTCCTTGGAACCCCAGGGCCCACTCTGCCCCTCTCGTCTGCTTCCCCCACTCTGAGCCCAGGCCCTACTCCAGGTCAAGGTCACACCTGTGGCTCTTACTCATCCCAGAACCAAACTGGAGGCATGACCGGGCCCTGCTGGGGGACCCTGGCCTCTGGGGACTCTGGGAGAAAGGACACAGTCTCTGTTCTTCCTCCAGCTCCCGCCCCGCAGGGCAGCAGAGTGAAGCAGGAAAAACACCAGCCTCCCACCTTCACCTCCCACACTCAACCCGCAGGCCCTCCCCTGCTCGGGGCAGCTTCACCACTGCCCAGGGCAGCAGAGAGCCAGGAGACAGGCGAGGGTGGGCCCGGCCCTGAGGTCAGAAAGCGCCCTCCCAGGAGACCACCTCCCGGTCCTGAGGCAGCACTAAGTCAGCAACAGGAGGTTCTGGCTGGCGCTGGAGGTGGCGCTGGAGGTGGCGCTGGAGGTGGCGGTGAGGGGCCATGACTGACTCACAAAACCTCAGCTTCCTGCTCCCCTCCCCCTCTGAGCACGACACTCGGAGATAAGGTGGCAGACAAGACGAAGGGGGGAAAAGGGACAGATGTCTGCTGGTGCCACATGTACCTACACACATGCCCACAGCCCCCCGCCCAAGGGCCACCCTTGCGCGGCCCAGGCTGGGGTGCCCTAAGGGATGCCTCCTTTCCCCAAGCTCCCTGGAGGGCCGACGGGTGTGGGCTCCAAACCACATCTGGGCCCAGGACTGGCTGACACCAGGGCTCACCCAGTTCCTGCCATGGGGCAGAGGCGGAGGAAGGAGGGGTGTGCAGCTCTGCCCCACAGCCCCCCTCCCAGGCAGGCAGGCAGGCAGCTCTCTAGGCGCCTCTTCCCCCAGGACATGGACAGAGTAGCTGGCCACTGTCCACCGTCCCCTCCCTCCCTCCCACCCTTCATCGTATGAAACATCAACTCTCACTTGCAGGACTCCACCCTCCGAAGAACCAACTGGAGGCGACTCCTGAACTGTCCCAACTACCTAAGGGGCAGGTGGCTGGACAGGGCAAGGGATGCTCATGGCACCAGCACCTTCTCTGGGCCACGATGACCCCAAGGTGGCCCTTGGGCGGGGGGCTGTGGGCATGTGTGTAGGTACATGTGGCACCAGCAGACTTGACCTTCAGGTCTCAGCCCAACAGCGACCCTTCCTTCAGGCAGCTGTCTGCTGCCCGAGCCTGGGGCCGGCGGGCCCTGCCTCCCTACACCACACCCGACTCCGTACACCTGTTGGGGGGCTGGGCCAATGGGAGCTCCGTGAGCAAGAAGCCACGACTGTGTACCCATCGCACACCTGAGCCTGGCACAGACCGCAGCCTAATTAGCGCTCGCGGAATGCACACAACCGGCTGCACCGCCATCCGCCCACAGCCAGCCCCACTCACACCCCACAAGCAAACAGGTTCCTCAGTCAGCGCGCAGGGCAGCTTCCGGGGCCCAGGCGCTCCAGGCATGCAGCCTCCCGGAAGGACACGCGGTAGAGAGGCCAGGCCTCCTGACCCCTCTGAGACCCCAGCCCACACCTCGGTCTGCGCTGGCAGAGCCAGGCTGCAGCGTGGCGATGGGCCCCACCCTGAGGCAAGGCTGGGTCTCCCAGCACCCCCACCCGAGGGAGCCCTGTGGCCATGGAGGCGACCTGCTGCTGCTCCTCGCCCCACCAGAGCTGCCCCTACCCCAGGGACCAGCACAGCCCTGCGTCACAGGGTGGGGGTGGGGGGCCCTAGGAGGAAGGGCACTAGGTCCCCTGAGACACAGACAGGGACCAGACTTCCTCCCACAGCCACATCCCGGCAGCCAGTCCCGTGTGGGCTGAGGCTGATGGGGGAGGGAGAACACAGGGCATGCGTTCTGTCATCTGCTGGCAGCGCCCGTCACCAGTGCCAGGCTGAGTGCCTGGAGGCCGCCTGGGCTAGCCTGCACTGTGGGCAGAGGCCAGGGAGGGTGCACACGCCCTGGGATCAGCCCAGCCATAGGAA